CATCCATCCATCCATCCATCCATCCATCCATCCATCCATCCATCCAGTATTCGGCCTTCCAGCCTTCCAGCCAGCTCATCACATCACATCCCATCCCACTAACCTATCTATCCATTCATTCATTCATCCATCCGCTTATCACCTCATGTTAATAATTACCTTTAACGAATATTCGAAGACTCTGTCTTTGCCCGATTCCCACGGCATTACTCGGAACACAATCCAGGACTATTTCGCCCTTGACGAGCAAGAACATGATGTATAATCTAGATTTGCTTGGTTTCTGTATCAACTGGTTGTTTTGATACAAGGAGTATTTAGGTGACGGTTTAGCCTCAGTTTTACATGTTATCGTTATCAGGTCCTTAATGCAAAATGAGCTCTGGTTTGGCAAGACGGAAATACTAGTCCCAAAGGGTTTGTCTGCCGAGAAAAAAGAATGTGATCATGAAGAGAGCACAATACCATTTTTGCAATTTAGGCATATTTGGGGGGTTCAAACTTTAGAACATACATCACGCTTCTTTTTCCACATCGCATCAAATTTTTATTTATTTTCTTATTTTCTTTCTATTTCGTCTCGTTTCGTTTTGTTTCGCGCTTTTGAGTTCAGCTATAAACCTTCAATTAATATTCAAGTGCAAGATGGTAATGGAGTTCGGGTTTTACACGATCTTAAGGGAGTTTCTCAAATTCAATTGACCTGCTCAAAGATGCTATCGCAGCATTTGAAGACATAAGAGTAAATGAAGGTCCCATCCTAGGTCTAACATTGTTGCTCAATGATCTCTTCGATTCTCACGCCATTTGAAGCGCACACCATTATATTTAACGTTGCTTATACTTACAATTAACATTAACACGTAAAGTTGCATTCGCTGTAGTTTTGCATTCTTCCCCATTGTTCACATACATTCTGTACCATCCTCCTTCTTCACGGCTGATTGCACTGAATGTGAGGTTACGTTCATTCCATCGCAGAGGTGGTAACGCGTTTAAGCGAATCCATGTAACATTCATGGGCTCACTCCCAGAAATTTGGCAAATCATACTCACTTTTGATCCTTCTACGACCGTACTGTTTGTTGTGGTTGCTTCATTTATCTTACACCAATGAATCTTTGGAGGTTCTAACAATCAAAAGACAATGAGCCATTACAAGGTTGAGGAAAAACCTGGGTCGAGTTGGCAATTGCAGCGCATTGTGGGGCTGTTTTCACTGATAAACAAAGTAATTATACTGAAGTCTCAACTTTGTTTACCTTTGACATATACTTGAAAGCTTCTATTTTGCCCACTTCCTACGGTGTTGTATGGAACACACGTGAATACTCGGTCAGTCACGCCAGTAGACACAGAGAACACTCCACTGGAACTTCCTTTTTGAACGAGACGATTGTTACGATACAGATTGTAATTTGCATTAGGATAAGCACTTGATACACACGTGACTGTGATGCTGTCATTGAAGCAGTAAGATGTCTGATTAGGTGAAGCAGTAATCGTTGTGGAATGCGGTTTTTCTGCAAAATGTATCAAAATTTTAAAATTAAAACCAAGCCTTTGGGAACATTTTAAGGAAGGTATGTATTTAATTGGGAGAGGGAAAGACTGGGGTTTCTGAGGGAAATTTAGAACTTTAATTAAACTAGCCTTGCTAAAATAGATGTGCCTGTATAAATATTAACTAAAATAAAAATAGATAAAAATAAATAATCTTTAAAAGTTTAATGATAATATATACAATCAAAGGCGTTTTATATTGTGTTGTGATTATTCAATTTACAAGCATGAGAGATTGTTAGTATGAAGTGTAGGCACTGAGGGTGGTCACTGCCAGGGTTTCTTTACGTGGTTAAACTGTGATTTCCCTAGCCCACCCCTCCCTCCTTGCACCCCCCNCTCCTTTCCCCAATAAAAAAAACCTACTTTCCGCTAATTGTGTATAATCGAAACCGGAAGTTTTGTTTTCTGTTTTATTTATAGCTATTAAAAAAGCATGCTTGAATCTTAGTTATTCGTCTAAAATCCGAATGAAAATAAAGTATGCATATATGTATACATGAGGTATCTATGCACCTAGAGGAAACGACTGAAATTAGAGCTTCTTATATGATGTATTGGAGAATGAAAAGCAAAAATTTGGACATGAAATAGTACCTAGTATTAGAAGAGACGTTGCGCCCGGAAATGTCGAAGAATCGGACGAAAACCCCAACATAGCTTTGTAGTGTTTCTCATCCGTCAATCTGACCAAATGTTTCATGGTAAACTTTATAGTAACAGTTGCACCAGTTTGTGAAGTATTCAAATTCAAGTCGGATTCACGGCTCTGATATCTTTGATCTTCAATGATTTTAATCCCAGATTTCTGCAGTGACATCAACTCTGTAGTCCTTCCTTCTTGAACTTGGATAATTTTTGCGTAAGTCCAGATTTTATTGCTATCAATAGAAGTTAAATTAACCATCCATGCCATTGTGATGGTCTCTCCTTGAACGGCTGTAATTGACGAAGAACCATTCCATATTTTCTCTCCTTCTGTAGGCGAAAAGAATATAGAGCCGATATATAGAATAAAAGTTTTAAAAATAGATTATCAGATATCAACAAAGAGATATCTTCCTATATACTAACTTGTAGTTCCAAGGAAAAATGACAACCAAAGTATTACGATCCGTGCCAATTCTCTACACAACATTTTCTGCCGTCAATAATTAATGCAAGCTATTGTTTTACAGATTAACTTGAACTTCTTCGAACTTATAAGTGACAGAAATAAGTTGAAACATATCCTGCAATGCAAGAGATTTTTATGCCACCTACACTACTTTCAACTCACTGACTGAAGCTTGACGAAATGTTAAAGCTAGAAAAACTGTACCAAACTGAAAAACAACTGAAAAAGGAATATGAAACACAAAATGCGAACATTTTACTTTCACTGGAAAATTTATTCGTTATCAAGAAGTATTAAGTAATGCTGTTTAACCTTACTGTTTTGCTGGTCTTCGTATACAATATCAAGAGAAATCCAGTGATTTATCAAGGAATAGTCATAGCGTAGAATATTCCGTAATTCACATCAATTTTTTTTCTTTTGAAATTTAATAAATATCATTTCAGTTTAGTATAATTTATTTAGTTAAATTACTATTTAGTTTGATTATTATTTATTTTTGCATCTATAGTTATAGATATGTTTTAGTAGTACTGCATAATAAAAAATAATAAAAAAAATTAAAGAATGAAACCAACAAAAAAAAAAAATAATAATAATAATAATAATAATAATAATAAACAAAACCCTAAGGAGAATTCCTCCCAAAACTCAAAACCTTAAAAGGATGCTAATAAAATATTAACACACACACACGCACAAAAAAAGTACTGTTTAACTTTGAGCTATTGGCCATCGTTTTTGGCACAATTGTCTCGTGTTTTTCAAATACAAATTCTAAAAATAGAGTCCCGTTTTTCTAGGAAATATCCAACCTCGTTCCCAGGTCCTTTTTTTTCAAGAAGAAGAGAAGGCCCTGGGAACAAGGGAAATATCTGAATCTAGCATAATTCATTCAGCATAATTCTTCCTGATTTCAAAAGAATCATTTGCGAGTCGCTTTACAAAAAGTACCCGCTTTGTCAGGTTACTTCCCTTCTAAACGGGCTTTCTTTCGATCACTATACCAGTTAATGTCTAACATTTCGCCAACGTCTTTATATTTCCGAGATTGTTATTTTTTTGTCAGAAAGTGCAACAACTAGACAATGGAACACGGGGTCATTTTTTTTCAGGTTTTACTTTTGGGACTCTTTTCGCAGTCGGGTAAGTTTAAAAAACTAGTAAGAAATTAAGTGATAAAGCTATTAATTAAAGTAGCGATCTATCTATTAACTCAGTAATTTATTTGTATATATTGAATTTTAGAAGGTCCCAAACACTGGCGGTCAGCGAAAGCCGAAGTGACAGCGATACAAGGAGAGTCGGCGACATTGGCTTGGTCTATTAACTTAACAGACTCTGACGTTAACAAAACTTGGACTTATGTCAAAATTATCCATGCAAAAGGACCATATACAGAAGAACTAGTAACATTCGAGAAAACAGGGAAAAAAACTATCGAAAATCCAAGCTATTCCAGTCGTATATCAGACATGACCTTTAATGTCTCCCAGTCTGGTTCTGCTGTCAACATACGATTCACAATGACGAATTTAGTCAGAGCTACGGATATGAAAAGTTACAAAGCTATGCTTGGATTTAATTCTGATGCTTCTACTTATCCTGATGTTACTATTCTGACTATACTAGGTATGCTCCGTTATGTATATGTTAGATGTTTTATCGAATTGGATATTTGAATATAGGGTAGCTCAGTAGAGCGTTGTGGCATACATTTTAGTTATTTATGAATATATAATGAGATGCAAAAATGAAAATTGCCCTAAATATGACCCTGTACTAATTCTATGATTTGCTTTGATTCATGAGGCTTCTGATACATGCGGTTCTCGTGTATCACATATTCATAAATTATATTTATTTATAAGTTTCTACAGTTTGGGCATTAAAAAGTTTCTAAAATGTCTTTAATAATATCTTATGACACTCAAATCGTACTTTTTACGTTCATTATGAACAAAACGTTTTGAAAACAATATTTTGTAAGATATGCATAAATCGTAACAGAATTATTGAATGCATTAATGTTTTTGCATCTCATTAAGTTGCTAAAAGGTGTCTTTACTTGTTGGTATAAGTTGCTCAGAGGTGTCTTCAGTTATTCTTATAAGTTGCTCAAAGGTGTCTTCAATTGTTCTTATAAGTTGCTCAAAGGTGTCTTCAGTTATTCTTATTAGTTGCTCAAAGGCGTCTTCAGTTATTCTTATAAGTTGCTCAAAGGTGTCTTTACTTGTTGGTATAAGTTGCTCAGAGGTGACTTGAATTGTTCTTATCTGCTGCTCAAAGGTGTCTTCAGTTATTCTTATAAGTTGCTTAAAGGTGTCTTCAGTTATTCTTATAAGTTGCTCAAAGGTGTCTTCAGTTGTTCTTATTAGTTGCTCAAAGGTGTCTTCAGTTGTTCTTATTAGTTGCTCAAAGGTGTCTTCAGTTGTTCTTATTAGTTGCTCAAAGGTGTCTTCACTTGTTCTTATTAGTTGCTCAAAGGTGTCTTCAGTTGTTCTTATAAGTTGCTCAAAGGTGTCTTCA